GGCCTTCACTTGAGGCCCACACACACTGTGGAGGGCAATCAGCTTTGCCAAGTCCACGTTTAAAACATTATCATCTCAGAGATATACCCAGAACAGTATCAGGCTCATGGCTCAACCAAGCTGACACATAAAGCTAGGCATGAGTGCTCTTGCCGCCATAGAGTTCAGAGAGAAGAATGACAGAGTAAGAAGTGGAATTGTGACTAAAGAGATGAGAACTTGAAGATTAAGGTACAGCACAGTTGATTCAAGGCGCTGGAGTATAAGACTATCAAGAAAACCCACCTAGCTGTGTTGATTGTCATGGAGTGTTCACTGAAAAGTCCATATGGTAGAAGCAGGGCTTCAAAACAAGTACAAAAGAAAAGCCTTCAGAGAGAGTGAGGAGCCTGGACACAAGATGAGGGAATGAGGGTAAGCAAAGAAAAAGGTGGTGTGTAGGTAGAAACTCTTAAATCTTTTCCCCTCAATCATCTGTCTTCTGTTTTTTCCTCCTGTTGTCAAGTAGAAAACTAATCTTCATGTTAGCAACACTAGAACATACGTGATTTAGAACAACAGAAGATTATATATTATATACATAATTATATACAATTAAATATATATTATATATAAATATATGGTATATTATATTAAAAGTATATATAAATTATATAGTTAAAATATTTGAAATATAATTATAATTTATAATATATATAAAAGCAAGGAAGTAAGGCATCTTCTTTCAGTGTGCCCAGACTTTAGTCCCTCGAATCCTGAAGAACATGATTTCAAAATAACCATTTGGTTGTCTTTGCAACATTGTACAGCACATATATGAAGTTATAAGAAGACATCCTGCCTTTTAAAGTGAGGACATCTAGGTCCAAGAATGGTGAAGAGTGGATTTGCCATTACCCAGAGACAGAATCTGGAAGACATACTTGAGCAGATGGTCGGTCCGTGAGAGGTTGGAAAAGGAGACAGTGACCATTAGGAGCCAATTCTAGAAGCCAGGTACCAGATGAGCTCTGGAAGCCTGCCTCGGAGCAAATGTGCAGGAGAGCTTTGAAGCTGCGAGTTGACCACAGTGTGAGCTGTAACTAAAGAAAAAACAGATACTCTGATGAAAGTTCAGCTCGTAGGCTCAGCAAATATTCATCATAAGATAATCTCTGTGATGTTGGATGGCTTTATGGAAGTGCATTTGGTTCTGTGAACTGCATTTCAAGGAGTCAATGGCAAACTGTTCTATGTATAGAAAAAGGTTAACAAGGAAGGTGATACTCCTGTTTACTGAGCGAGAGGCTCATTGTGTGTTGGGCATCAGGTTAAATGCAATACACATATGTCAATACTTAGGATAGTGCCAGATAGAAGTCATTGCTGTGCTGTGTTTGTGATGCAGAAACAAAAGGTTATATCATGTAAGTGTCTTGCTTAAGCCCAACAGCTAGGAAGTAGCAGACCTATGACTTGATCCTAGATCCTTCTCATACCAAAGTTCATATTCTTTCCAGTTTCAACCAACCAGAGCAATAAGAGATCTGGAGATGGGTAGTTGAACTACTGAAGGAAGAGGAAATGTTTATCTTTAAAAAGGAATTAACAAAATAAATACAAATGAGGTAGTTGGATATTAAGTATTGAAGTCATTGCCAACTTGGGGGAAGGTTTAGTTAAGGTCCCAGAGAAAAGAACCACAGTGACAAATATGGACATAGTCTAACAGCTACTGCTTATCAACCACTTCGTAAGTTAGTCCCTGCATCCTTCCTTTCAGCTCTGTGAATGAGGGTTAGCAGTATGACTACCCCTATTTCACAGAGCAAGGAGCCAGAGCAGGGAGGAGATGTGGCTAAGTATGGCAACCTTGGAGTTAGTTAACTGAAGTGCCTCTGCTGAAATCTAGGTCTGTCCTACCCTACGGCCAATGCTCGTACCCACTTTCGTTCACTGAATTCCTGTGGGTAGATTTCCTATCAACGTAAAGTAACATTTCCAGATAGTTGGAATCTTCCCAAAAGGGAGTGGATGCTTTCTCAGGGAGTGCATTACCTATCACTGACAAATTTTGACTGGCAGAGATGTTGGGTTCCAAGCCTGTTGTCCTTATAGTTGTTGGGTTGTTGTTGTTGATGATGACGATGATGTCTTAATCTGAAATTCTATTTTATTCTATGGCCATCATCCTCAACAGAAATACAAGTGTTCCTGTAAATTATTAGTCCAGGAAGGAGAGGGGGAGGTATTGGTGGTGGGTCCTGTGGGTTATTAGTTTTGTCTACTGAAGTCCAACATGAAGATAAATACCAAATGCAGTTTATCCAAGATACTGTGTGGATCTCACTCATTGTGGAAAGTGTATGGATGTAAGGTTCTGTTGTTGTAAATAAGTGGCAATTATAATTCTATGCATATAGTGAAAGGAAAGCAAGATATCTTTGCATTTGAAGAGGAAACAAAGCCTTACAAACCTTAGAATCAAGCATTACTTTAGCATCCTAACCTTCTTATGGTGAAGGGTAAGAAGACTCACAGGGTCAGTTTTTGGAAGCTGGTTCAGAACAATCCTAGTCTTAGGAATAAAGATAAAGACAGAGGGAGAAGGGTGGAGGAGGCAAATTCCTGAAATACCTTTCCCTCCCTGTTTTGACCACCCCCTTGTCCACAGTTCTTAAGCAAAGCAAGTGATGGAGAATAAGGCCTTGGGTCATATTTCTGCATCTAGAAGTCTATAGCTAAGCCTTTAACTTCTAGACTTAGTCATTTGCTGTGGTAGGAAAGTTTCCTACTTCTTGGTTCTGCCGGTAGAATGTTTTCAGTGTTAACCAAATAATTATTTTTAGCTACATAGAGACTGCTTACCTGTCATGGTAACACACGACACTTCTGAACTCAGGTACAGCTAACAGAGCGGTCACCAGAAAGCTACAGTCCAAAATGGAGCAATGGCTTCCATGCAGAGGTTGTCACCAGCTGGTCTGAAACGAATCTTTGTCTATTAAGGTTACATTAACCTTAGCTCGACACTGTTCCTGCATTCTTTCCACATCTCTGTGTCTTTCTGGCATGCTGGTTCACATTCATCTTTGCTGTATCAGTTTTAAATCCAGTTCTTGGTCCTTAGGGGTATTACATAATAAATTAAAATTTTGATCAAAGGAGTTTTATGTGCAATGCATCTGAACTAACTGGTTCTGACTTCCTGCAGAGAAAATGAGTAGCTGGGCAGGCTACATTATGGGTTCTCATTAATGACGGTGGGAATGCCTGTCTCTCACACGCCAGTCACTGTGCTGGCCCTGGGAATGCCAAGATGGGGCCTTAGTTCTTCAAAGAGCTTCTGCACAAATGTCATAGTGTGGTACATGACATGACACAAATGAGCCACAGGGGTTAGAGCAGCTCAGACCGCTGAGGGGAAGAGAAGGTTTCTCTGATCCAAGTTTTAAAGGATCCCCAGGGTGTCCCCAGGGATTAGAAACTCAAGATGTGTGCTACTAGCTCTGTAGACCTGGGTAGGTCAGGACTCTGGAATGAAATACAAACAGGGCAGATCTTCCATGTTAAGGGGTTTGGGCTTCATCCTGCAGGCAGTAGGAAGCCTTTAAATGGTTTTAGGATAAAAATAGTGGAATGTAACATGTTTTTAAAAAGATCACTGCTGGTGGTGTAAGGAACGTGTTGGCGGTAAGGTATGAAATAAAGAGACACATCATGGGGGGAAATATTACAACAATCCAGATGAAAAATGAGAACCAAAGCAGACTGTGGAGATAAGAAAAACAAATGTAGAGACACGCTGGGAAGGTGTCCTGAGGAACTTGATCATGAGGAATGGGTCCTGGCTACAGTGGAGAAAGGACAGAAGGCTATTCTCTAGATTTCTACCTGGGGTGGATACTGTGCTGTCAAGGTGGAGGGGAATGATGGGAGAGGCTGGTGTGAGTTCAGGGATAAGACAGTGAGTGTGAGAAACCTGAGAGTCTTCAGGAGGGAGGATGTCTAGGGGAATAGCAGCACGGGCCTGGAGTTCAGTTAGGAGAAACTGAGGCTCAGCTGTTGGCATACTTATCCCATGGATATGAATATGGTTTGGTATATTTAGAAGGCTAAGGAGATTCTATGGGCCCAGAAACCTCAGACTGAACCACAACTGGTCATTTTTCAAGCCCTTCTGGCACCTTCTGTGCCCCTTAGGGCTTGTATTCTTTCTGTGTTCTCTTCCTGTAGTGCTTTTGCCCAACAATCTCTGTGACTGCATTGAACATGTCATCTAGGTCTCTGCATCCCTGCGACGTTGCTTGTCCATCATTCCTAAGACAGCAGCCTCCACCATACTCTGTCCCTTATTCTGCTGGATCTCCCATCTTACCATGTTTTACTTGTCCACTGACATCTACATGTAAGCCTGTGAGCTCAGGACTTCCCAGGGTCCTGTTGCTGGGATGGTACCTGGCAACTTGTGCTTTCAAAGACTCATGTGGTGGACACGAAGAAACCTGGTTGATGTAGAGGGAGTAGGAAAGGGAGTCACTATCACCAGGAGACCTGTAAAAATGCAAGTGTCTTTTGATTTCCCAACGTGATCATGATTGTTAATTTTCCAGTTAACTACTTTGGGAATAAGTGTGAGCAGGTCTCAGAAAACCTGTGTACATTGCCCTGGGTTTAATATAGATTTATTGCTCAGGCAAAGATGGGAACATTTTCTTCCCTTCCAATAGACAATTTACCAAAATAGGTTTGCCACCTTGGGAGGAAGTCAATAATAATGTGGTTTCCACACCCTACCAAACCTGCTCTTCTACACCTGGAAGTCGCTCACAAGGGCAGCCATGTTTGTAGAGCCCATGGAAAGTGCCTCCTGCATAGTTGCTTTTTGATCCCACAGGAAAAGGACTTCCTTTGACAGCTTGGCATTAGTGAGCTCTGTCTTCTGGCTCTCCGTGACCAGAGGTTTCCTGTTGACACAAGAATACCACATTCAATGTGTTTTTCTGTTGCTCTTTCTCCAGAATCTTCTACGTCTCTCATGACTCCCAAGACTTGAAAATCTTCAGCTATATCGCTCGAGATGGAGCCAGCAATATCTTCAGATGTAACGTCTTTAAGTCCAAGAAGAAGGTAAAGGGACTGTCTTCTGTCCTCTGCTGTTTTTTTCTCTTATGAGCCCAGCACATATCTGTCCTTGGCTTGTCTCCCTGTTGAAAGTTTGAAGGTGGATGTTTTAATACTGGACCTGGTGGCACTACATTAGCCATCTGTCATTGCTCCTATGTGATGAAACCCTCTTAGATTTTAGAGTCATCTGAACTTTATACTTACTCTATTGACTGACTGATTGTCTTTTGAGAGAGGACCAGATAGACAAGACCAGCAGTAGGAAAGAACCTTATCTTGCAGAAAGAAGGAAAGAAGCATTAACTAAGGTGACCTTTCACCCCAATCTTGCATGTAAATCAGTGAGCCATTTGTATTAGTAAGTCATGACATGGAGACATCAGCTTAGGTTAGGGTATAATGTTAGTTGTCATGGGAAATTATTTTAATATGACAACCTTGATGCTGAATAAATGTAATTTCTACACTCCTGTAGCGGTATCCCTTTTCTCTACTATTTCTCTATGGGCCTGACACACAAAACTAGGGTTGTGTGTGCCTCCCTGGGGAGTAGAAAACCTAGAATTTAGCCTACCCTCTCATAGTAGTCCAAAATGATGGTAAGTCAATTGCCACCCCACTAAGTCTCAGCTTCTTCAAAGATATATTGAGGCTAGATAAAATTAGCATTTACTTTAAAAATGTCTTGTTAGCATATAGCAATTATACAATTATGCATAATAATGAGATTTATCATGACATTTCCATACATGGACGTAATGTATTTCTGTCGTCTTCATTCCAGGCATCCTGTCTTGTTCCCTTCCTCCTTTCTCTGATGCTCTAAAACCAGCATTTTCTAAAAATAAATGCATTTTTTAACATTTATCATCAAAATTTTTTTGTGTTAAAAATTACTGTATTTGAGTTTCTGAGAGGCTCTGAAGTTAAAGAAACCCCTTAACTTCTTTATTCTTGCATTTCACAAACTGACTTGGCTACAGAACCATTTTTTTTTCATACAGTACATGTCAGTATTCTCGGAACTACTTTCCTTCAGAAAAAGCTTTGGAAAGTGTTGTTGCTGTTTCTGAGGCCTTATAGGTCTACACTTCTAGAGAGAAGCCATTAAGTCTAGCTTCTTATGAGACTTCCAGTCCCCTTCCTGCATATCCCATCTGATGTCTTAAGCCTTCTTTCATAGATTCCTAGGTACTGGGTCATTATCGAATGGGAATACTGTGGCTAATACCTGACAAGGTCAAAATTTACATATATACATGTCTCCTGGCGTATGATGGGAGCTATATCATAATGTATTCATCTTAAATTGAAAATATTATAACTTGAAAATGTATTTACTGTATCCAACATAGCATACATGACTTCTCAGCAGCACAGTACCTTGTGGACTATGGATCATTTCCAGGAGCTGTCACTGGCTGCCACTACCCAGTGTCACAACCATTTGCTAAACAGTCTAGGAAAAGATCAAATTTTGAAGTACAGTTTCTAAGGTAGGTAGGTAGGTAGATAGATAGATAGATAGATAGATTGATTGATTGATAGATAGATAGATTTTGCACTATTATATAGTCAAAAATTACCAAATCAAACCATCACAACCCATTTTGTATAGATGTCTTATCATGCAGAGAATTATGCATTGCTAATTATCCATACTCTCTAAGGAAATTTGTCCCCTAACCCACTCTGTTTTCAGGCTTGCATTTTTTTATTTATTGCTTGCTTGCTTGCTTGCTTGCTTGCTTGCTTGCTTGCTTGCTAATATGAGGGATGGAGTTTAGGGCCTTTTACAAAGAATCTATCATTGAGCTACATTTCCAGCTGTCAGGCGCCTTTAAGATATGTCCTCAAGTGGGCTACAAAGTGCTAGAACTGAGAAGAAGTACTATAATCATACAGATGAAAAGAAGTCGATGTAAGGGAGGCCATAGCCAGCTGTGTATGAGAGGACTGTTGGGGACTGGAGCAGGAAGGAAAGAAAGTCAGTCCTTGTCACTGGAGATGTACGCCTCTAGGGCCTAGGGAGGTGAAAGGCTCTGAAAAGGAGAGGAAGGAAATTCAAAGCACCCCTGAAGGATGTAACTTAGACTGTCTGCAGTGTTGTCTGGCCTGCCACCCAAGAGTGACTTCCCCCTCTTTCTCGTTGAGTTCCTACCGGTACAATAATGACAGATTTGAGCTATGAGTGACACATAGTCATTTATCAAGTGCATCCATTGCTTATCTCTTTAAATCTTTATAATGTGTATGTAAGGAAGGTCAACACAAAACAAAACTTTGCATGCTCATTTTATATGTTAGTAAATGGATACTCACCCTACGTGTCTTGCAAGGTTCTCCTAGAAGGGCAGTGGCTAGAACCAAGGAAACATGCAGAGCCAAGGAATTTTGAACAAGAAACATAGGTAAAGGAGCCCCTGGGTTCTGTTTGCCTTGCTGTGGGATCTAGTTTGGTGGCACAGGCAGGCTAAGGTGACAGAGTGAGAATGGCTTCTACCTCAAATGTGACTTTTGGAGTTAGGCACCAAATCAAGTTCCTGCTGCCCCAAGACAAGTTCTCTGCCTTCCTTCATGTTGTTTTTTTTTTTCCACACCTTATAGCTCTCAGAGCTATGGCTCATTCTTTGACTCTTCTGATTTCTGAATTCTTTTTGCCTTTACCTGCTGAGTCTGTAGCTCTTGGTGGGGTTGGTTCTCAGGCCCTATGCTGGCCTGAAGCCATGCAGCTAAAAGAATTATTTCCAGGCTGCCTGGACTGTGAGCTCTGTTGCTTCTGAACTCTAGACGGGAGGACCAGCTTCCAAGCCAGGAAAGAGCAAAGAATTGTTCAACAAAGGAAACGCAGTTCGGGAGGGGTGGGAAGTATGTCTGGAAGGCTTTGCACGCCATCCTGGTTGGCCTCCCAATAAGTGTTTAACTTTCTTACAAAGCATTTCTGATTTCAGGAGATAATGGGTTGGGAAGGAGTTTTAATTGGCAAATCATAGGTATACTTAAGAGATGGAGGAGAAAGGGCTGTAGACCCTGAGGAAACGTGTCTTGCAAGGATGTTTGTGGACCAATAGAGTCCCATTAGAGACCTGTTGATGGGAAGCCAGTAGACCCAGGAGGGAGGGAGGGAGGGGGG